AGAGAGAGAGAGAGAGAGAGAGAGAGAGAGAGAGAGAGAGATGGAGAGAGAGAGAGAGCCCCTACCTCCTGCCGACGCGACCCTCCCCCGCACCCGCCCGATAGCAATCCACTTTCCCGCCAACCGACACCCCTCCCCTCTTGCGATGCCGCCTGTGGCAGTTACCGGCAGGCCTCCCCTCAACCCGCCCTTTTTTGCGAACCGCCACGGTCAATTTCCGCGCGCGCCGCGCTTTCGCAGCTTGGCCCACCCTTTTCCCCTTGCCCACGCCCTCCGCGAAAAGCCACGTCCAAGTCCCTCGCGGCGCGGACACGAAACGCCTCGCCGATTTTCCTTGCCCAGGTCCCGCGACCCTCCCCACCTATTTTCGCTGGGCCCGCGGGACGCGTCACGGTGGGCCCTTTGCTTGCCTTAGGAGTATAGAGATATATCCATGTCTCTATATAACCAGGCAGTTCTATTTGATGATATATATGTAGTGATGTGTGGTTGTGCGTCTGACAGGGACAAAATAGCCACTAGGTAGAATGACGGGGACAGGACTGGAATTGGGTGACAGGTGGACTTGGGAAAGGCCTGGATGGACAGGCACATTTTTTTTTTTCACTCGTCTGATCGAAGTGGAACTCGAACCCAGGTCTTTTGTTCAGTAGTTCATGGGTGGGTAGGCCAGTTGCTCTACTAAGATATTTCCCCACAGACTGCACCTCACTATTTCTGGGCATGAGCCATCCCTGCGTAGGGGCCATGCTGATCTTCTGGGGCGAGATCCCACTAGCAAAGAGGATTGATTTTTACTTCCCAATCTAGATGTGTTTGTAGAGAGGTGCAGAAAATAGGGCCTCGCCACACTACTCTTGAAAACATGTTTTCAAGAGTCCCTACACCGCCACACAGCCTCTTGAAAGTGTTAGGGAAATTTTCTTTCAAGAGGTGTCAGAAGTGGGTTTCCAGAGTTCCCTCTTGAAATGGCCAATTCCCCTGCCTCTGGAACTCAAGGTTTCGTCTTTCGGGACATCCGTTAAAATTGGAACGATACATAGAAGATTAGCATGGCCCCTGTGCAAGGATGACACGCATAAATCGAGAAATGGAACTCAAGGGTTCCAGCTCGGCCAAGCACATGAAGGACCCTCAAGTTTCAAGAGGTGTGCAGCACACATCTCAGCACACAACAAAAACATACGTGTCATCCTAGAAAGTACAACTCTGCGTGGCGAAGGGCCAAAACTCTTGAAAGTACAACTCTTGAAAATGTCTGACAGCTCTTGAAACTTTTCATGGTTTCGAGGTGGGTTGGCTCTGAAGGGAAGAGCACAAACGCAGATCACCCACTACGGGCCTAGCCACTAGCCAACTGGGTGTGGCTAGGCCCGTAGTGGGTGATCTGCGGTTGTGCTCTTCCTTTCAGAGCCAACCCAGTTTGCTAGTGGGACCGTGGCCCTGTCCGTATAGTTCCAAGGACTGGGTGATTTCTCTATTGCAGATGCCACACGTTTTGGAAACGTTTTGGAAATAGTTAACGCGCTCTGCCCACCCCTCATCACCGTGATGAGGGACTGGTACAGCCTTGCTCTTGCACCACCGCTGTGGTGCCAGCCTACCCCGTGGGCTAGGGAGAGATCCGGGTGGGTTGGTGTTCCCCAGTACTATTATTAGACTAGCCAGAGGACGAGATAGATGAGTGCTGCCACGCTCTTACGGCGGGGACTTTTGTGATTGCAATTGGCGGCAATTGCCGTCAGATACATCCATCAAAGTCCCAACGTGAGTACGTGCCTGTTCTGAAATGCCGAGTGGGCAGGTCTTAGAAAACGACTGGCACCAAAACACAAAAAGAGCCCTCCGGGACGATACAGAGAAGATGAGCATAATGGCCCCTGCGGACGTAGCTCAGTGGGACGACTGTTGAAAAATGCAGACCCAAGTTCGAATCCAGATGGTGGAACTTGATGAGTCAAGCAAAAGGATGACACGCATAAATCGAGAAATGGCAAAAAGCAAAAAACAGAAGAAAGTAAGAAAACCAACCGCCCTAGCTCCGGGCGTACTCACAATAGCACTTTCCAAAATGCATCCGACCCCAATTTCCGGCACAACTGTATGCATCTAGCCGCAATTCTGTCCACAAATAAGCAGAAAAGTATTACCGGTAGTGTGAGTATACCCCCAGTTGGCGTAGCCCCCCAACTGTTGAAATACAGACCGGGAGTTCAAATCCTCCCGATGACCAGAATGAGATAATACTGAATTACTTGGGGCCGGTCAGTTCAATGATGAGGAAAAAAAAAAAAAAAAAAACGATCGTCATTTTGGATCTTCCACGCCACGGTGATGACATGTACAAGTCGAGAGATGACATGATACAGGGGTCTCGCCGCACGGCACACGGAACGGAAACGAAAACGAAACGAGTGCATCTGGCCACCAAAGGTGGCAAAATACACTCGTTACTATTCATAGCAAACCGATGAACCTGGCCATTTGCTAGGGGAAGAGGATACATTCGTTTCGTTTTTCGTTTCGTGTGCCGTGCGGCAACGCCCACAGACGTGAAAATATAATAAAATAACAACAAAACTGGGGACGTGGATTTCCGGTTGGGAGGCTCATTTTATGTCTATTCCGGTTTCCAGGTGAGGGAGGAGGAAATGTTAATGGGAGGAGGAGTTTCCCACCTACCAATCAATCAATCGATCAATATCAATCGATTAATCAGGCCCCATCAATCAAGTCGAGTAGTGTAAGAGCACTGCTCTGCAATTACACGATCGTCAGCGAAGAAAAGAAGACCGGCTGCTCTACGGATTCACCGAAGATCCACAGGAGAGAGCATCTTGTCAGCTGCGACTCTCTCTCTTCTTTGCGATAAGCAGTCAAATTGAAGAAGAAGAAGAAGAAGAAGAAGAAGAAGAAGAAGGGAGCGTTTGACGGCGGCAGCTTGAAGGTCTCTGGCTATGGCGTCCACAGCCACCATGGCGGCAGCCTACTGTGCAATGAGTGGAGCAGCAGCAGCAGCAGGAGGAGGAGGAGGGTTACATCGGGGGCTTGATCCTGGGCACACGTCGGGCAGCTGGTCGGTATCGCCATCGCCATCGCCGCGACCTTTACCAAGTTCGCTAGCGATGGCGGCGCACCATAGACAGCGCGTATCCATCGCTCGTGATCGTGCCACGTGGCCGAACGGCGTAGGCTCCTCCTCGAGTGGTCTCCGTGAGAGCGATTTCCTTGGATCGTCCGACAGCTTCCAGACAATCTCTGGAAATGACAGAGGAGCTACGAGATGTCGCCACGTAATCCCGCTTTCGGTATCGGCTATGGCGGCCAACGAGTCTCTGGTGTTGGAGGAGAAGGCTCCTGCCTCCGCTTCCCCTCTGTTAGTGACACCTGGGTGCGTCCTCGCTTCAGCCCCCTTTAATCTCTCCCGGTTCTCACTGCCCTCCCTCCCTCCCTCCCTCCCTCCCTCCTCTTTTCCATCATCTCTTACCCCTCTACCTCTGATCCCCCGTTTTTGGCGCCAAAAATTTCGGCGCCCAAAAAATTTGGCGCCAAAAAGTTTTGGCACGAACAGTTCCCAGCCTTCCAGTTCAATGCCCTCCTCCTTCTGCTTTCTTTGTCGGCTGGTGGAATCTCTTTGTCGTCACGAGCTGCCTGAAGAGATTTCGGTCTTTGTTTATTAATTTATTAATTAATTAAGTAATTAATTTATTTATTGCTTTATTTAGTATTTATCTATTGACGGATCATGCACCTCACCTCATGGCGTGATCTTCCTTCCTGCCCTTCTTTTCGCTCTCGACTTCATTTTATGAACAGCTTTAATGTCCAATCTCAATCTCAATTCATTTCGCCGCCTTCTTTCTACGGTAATAACTACTGTATTCTTACATCCAACGATCTCGACAGTGCCCACCTGTCGAGTCACAGTCGCTTGCCGCGGCGTTCCCACCATGGCCCCCGCCCCGCTGCATTGCAATCCATCGACCGTGCCGGCAACGGATATGGCAATTTCCATTTGGGCATGGCCGGTAGAAGTTGATGAGGACCCCTTCCTCCCCGCTCTCTCTCTCTCTCTCTCACTCTCTCTTCCTTCCCCTTCCTCCTCTCGGTTGGCGTTTTCTTCCTTGTCAATGGGATAGGCAGTTCAATCTTGTTGTTCACTCTTCTCTCTCTCTCTCTCTCTCTCTCTCTCTCTCTCTCTCTCTCTCTCTCTCTCTCTCTCTCTCTCTCTCGCCCCTTCCTTACCGGGTTCCTTAGACGACCCTAAACACGGACCTAACGCCAGTAAGGCACACGTGCTACATTCCGGGCAATGGATTGGCCATTTTGGTCCACGATAAAAACGATCTGGCTCTGGAATGGGTCATTTCGATGGCCCCTCCCTCCCTCCTCCCCCCCTTCCTCTCTGCTGAAATAAACACTTCTCGGCAGTTCCGAGAATGGCCCTGGAAAGTGTGGGAAGGGTGTCCTCCGCTCCTCGGCAGTTTCTTGTTTGTTCCCCCCCCGCCCCCCCTGGTTTTAAAGCAGTGAGGACCAATTTTATTGTCCTCACAAAAGACCAAAAAAAAATCAGTTCTGTCGTCCTTCTAGTCGGCCGGGGTTTAATAAATCTCACAATCCTGTTATCTCTAAACATGTAAAAAAAAAAAAATCCAAAAAATAATAATAATAATAAACATGTAGAAAACATTCGTGATTCCGTTCCTCCCTTTCCCGCAGATCGCCGCCGCTGTTGCCACGTGTCGAAACATCCATTCCTGTAATCCATCGGCGCGCTTTGAGTGGCAACTTGCCTGCCCTCCGTCGGCGCGCGGGGCACCCACCACTTGATGACGACATCTCCTGCACGGATGATTTTTTTTTTTTGATTTTTTCTCCATTTTGGTTCAATAATTTTTACTGCCTCTTTCTCGTCCTCCTTTACTCCTCCTCCTCCTTTACCCCTCCTCCTGCTCCTTCTCACTCTTCATGCTCGTGTTTTTTTTTTTTTTTTCCCCGTCCTTTTTTTTGCTCGTGAGAGTCTTCATCATCATCTATTTCTTTTTTTTATTTTTTTTATTTTTTTAGCGAATTAATTCTTGATCATTAAATGCCATAAGGAAGGCCGGGGACCTCACAATTCAACCCCGGTTACTGACAGCATCAGCCAGCTTAGCTTACAGGCTTTAGCCTAACCTCCATAAAACTCCTGAATAACGACCTGCTACTGGACTTTTTTTTTTTTTTTTTTTTTTTTTGCTACTGGACTATTGAAGCATACCTTTGAAATATATCACGAATGTTGAACTTTTTTTTTTTTTTTTTTTTGTTTTGTGGGAATGTTGAAACTTTCAAATGCCTCATCACATCTTCTTTGATGGTGTCCTTGGAAGTTCTTTTTCTGCTTACTGGTGCGAAAAAAATTACTGAGGGGTACCAAATGGGCCTAGCTAAAAAAAAAAAAAAAAAAAAAAAAAAGGGCCTACCTCAGTTGGTACACCCATGAACTGTTGAAATAGAGACCCCCAAGTTCGAATCCAGATAAAACGAATCGTTTTTTTTTTTTCCTTTTTTTTTTCTTTTTCTTTTTTTTAAAGAGATAAACGAATGGTGCTCCTTTTGATTTACCAGAAGCGGAAGCTGAGTTAGTTGCACGCTAAAACGTAGAATATGCTTCCATGAGTTTTGCTCTTTTTCTTTTTAGGGGAGTATGCTAATAAGCCTAATATGATATTAATGAGTGGTTTATTTACTTTTCTATTTTTGGGTGGTTGGTTGGTTGGTTGCTCATCATGAATATGGCTATTCTTTTTTGTATTCCGGGCTCGATTTGATGAGTACAGTTAAAAAAAAGGAAGGGGGGGGGAAATAAAATTAGTGAGGGCGTCCCGAGTTTCAATCCAGATGCAATCAAATCAGATGAGTAGAAAAAAAAAAAATGAAGGAGGTAAAAAAACTGAAAAAATTACTGAGGGCGTCCTTCGGGATGTCCGTTAAAATTGGAGCGATATAGTACGGAGAAGAGTTTTTTTTTTTTTTTTTTTTTTTTTTTTTTTTTGACGAGAAGAGTAATTACGATTATGGCCCCTGAGCTCTGTCAAGGTTGACAAGGATAAATCGAGAAAATTACTGAGGGCACATTCACAATGGGACTCCTCTGGATGCATATGACTGGAATTACGCCCAGATTCATGCGGTGAACTCATAGTGTAAGTACGCCGTGAGATACACCCAGACACTTTCCCTTCCCTTCCCTTTTGCACTGGGACCAGGGGCCGAGTCCCACTAGCAGCGTTGAGCTACCTCAACGCCTGAATGTGGACGCTTTTGCGGAGATGTGCAGAAATGGTGTTGAGTTTCCTGAACTGCACGTCTCCACAAACACGTCCAGATTCAGGCGTTGAGGTAGCTCAACGCTGCTAGTGGGACTTGGCCCCAGGGGCCGAGATATGCCCGACTTGTTTTTCTTGTCTTTTTTTTTTTAGCGCCCGAAATTTCCGTTTCTGTCTGTGTGAGATGGAAAAGAAAACGGGGATGCATCCAGGCATTCTGGATTCGGACGGTTCTGCCGGCCAGGTCCTCAGGAATGTACCTGGCACTTTGCCTTCTGCACTGGCAACAGGACCGAGATACGCCCGACTGTTCTTTTTTTTTTTTTTTTTTTTTTAGCGCCCGAAATTAGCTCTTCTGTCCGACTGAGATGCACCCAGGCATTCTGCATTTGGACGGTTCTGCCGGCCAGGTCCTCAGGAATGCACCTGGCACTTTGCCTTCTGCACTGGCAACAGGACCGAGATACGCCCGACACTTTCTGTTTTTTTTTTGTTTTTTTTTGTTTTTAAAGCGCCCGAAATTTCCCCTTTTGTCTGCCTGAAATCACCCACGCATTCTGCATTTGGACGGTTCTTCCGGCCAGGTCCTCAGGAATGCACCTGTATGCCTGCCTATTGGCCTGTCTGGCTATCTGGCTATGGCTGTCTGACTCTCTGGGCATCTGACTTCTTTGGTAGTCTTTCCCCTTGGCCTATATTTATAGCTATCTGCCTGTATCTACCGATTAGTCTGTCACGGACTGTCTATTGAACTGGTCACCTTACCTATATGTTCCCATTTGGCTATCTAGTGAGCTTTTTACTCGTTTGCCTGCCTATCTACCTACCCATCTAACCTGTTGGGCTTTGTGGCGATTTACCTGACATCATTGCCATGTCAATCAACTATCTGATTATTTAAACTGCTGGGCGCTTTCCTATCTGCCAATTGCCCAGTGTGGCTATCTGGCTATCTGACTCTCTGGGCATCTTACCTCTTGGGCGATATGGCTATTTGTGTACTTACCAGTTCCTTGCACGGCTGTCAGCCGATCGTACGTATTGGTCCATCTGGCTATGATGCACCTATTGACGACCATATTTGGCCGTCTTCCTATCTGGCTGTTTGCCTGGTCATTGTTCTGTCTGACTATCTGGCTATCTACCTTTGTTTCCGTTTCTATCTGACGATCTACCTTATATAAGTTATATTTGCATTTCTGGCTATCTGCCTATCTGCCTATGTGGCTCAGTACCCCGTGGACTATGTGGCTTTCTACTTCTCTGTCTCTTTGCTTGATGGCTTATCCACCTAGGGCTATGCAACCCCTGAGATCCATTGTCCACTTCACTACGGGAAAAGGAACAGAAGAATAAAAGAAAAGAAAGAGAGTGGAACCGTGGGAATGAAGTGAATTTTTATTTTTTGTTTTTTTAAGGCATCCGAAAAAACGTTGTAGAGCGGGAAACTGAAGAAGAGGAGCATAAAACAACCAACCCCTCTTCGTCAAGAAGGTGGGAAAAAAAAAGAACAGCACTTCTTGGAAAACTGCAGAAGGAGCTGAATTTTATAGAACATTCCAAACATATTGTGATGAGGATAATGAGACTGATGCTGCTGATGCTGATGCCGCCGATGATGATGATGATGATGATGATGATGATGATGGTAGAACAGAGTCCTTAGTGAGGGAGATAAACAAACTTGTGTCAGGGATCTCGTTATGCGCGGCGAAGGTTCTGTGCCTTCCCCCTTTTTCTAAAACTATAGACAACCCCCATTTATATCGATAACAATCACAATCTTGTCAGGTGGCAAATAATTTCCGGTTCACCCCCCCCTCCCCCCCCCAGTTTGGACCATTTCTTGATTTGGGCGTGTCCATCCGGAATTGTGCAGGGCCCATGCTAATCTTCTTTCTATGTATCGGTCCGATTGTAAAACAGCTTTGAGGTGCCGGAGGTCATTTGGCGCTGAAAAGTACGAAATGGAGAACAAAATAATTGTCCAGTTGAAGAAAATAATTTTTCAACACTGGACGTGCAAGTTTTGGATCGTGCAAGTCTTTTGTTCCCCCCCTGAACTAGTGCATAAGATCCCACTCTCTCTCTCTCTCTCTCTCTCTCTCTCTCTCTCTCTCTCTCTCTCTCTCTCTCTCTCTCTCTCTCTCTCTCTCTCTCTTTTTCTTTCTCTCTGTGTATATTGCGCGTGGAATTAAAGGGAAACTAGTGCATAAAATCCCTCTCTTTCTCACTGTGTGTATTGTGTGTGTGAAATCAAAGGGAGCGTGCAGCGGGTTTTTGCTATTTGTATCCTCAATCAATCTGTCTTGTGCAGTCTGGTGGACTTTGCAGAGTGCGTGCTAATAATTTGTAAGAGAGACCGTTGTCCACTGCATTCTTTTTTATTATTGTTCTTGCATCTCACAATTTCTGCGTTTTTTTTTTTTTTTTTTNNTTTTTTTTTTTTTTTTTTCTGTTGTTGTTCCTGGGGGTGGTAGGGCGGTGTGGGGTGGGGGGGGATGGATTTAATTTGAATCAATCAATCAGGGTGAAGAGACACACCATATCCGTGTTTGTTGGAGATGAGAGTGGAATGATCAACAGGGTAGCTGGAGTGTTTGCTCGGAGAGGTTTCAACATCGATTCCCTGGCCGTCGGATTGAACAAAGATAAAGCACTCTTCACCATTGTTGTGTCGGGATCAGACCAGGTCGTCCAGCAAGCCATGAAGCAAGTGTACAAGCTAGTTAATGTTGTCAAGGTGAGGGAGCTGAGGGAAGGGGGGTTATTTTTAGTGGCCACATCAGCTTTTAGCCCTGTGAGAAGGTCCACATGGAATGCAAAATGGAACACCAAATAATTTAATTTTTGCTTTGGGAAAATTGTTGAAATGCCCCTGAAAGTTTCGGGTAATTTGTCAGATACCCCTAAAAGGCATGGGTATGGCGAAATGCCCCTATGACAGTAGTGAAACTTTGCAAAATACCCCACTCGCCAATTGGACCTGTCATCTTTTGCATATACCCCTATTAGGCCCTGGGCAAATTGTCTATATGCCCCGGTTACTTTAGGGCGTTGGACCCTGCAGATGGCAAAAGAAATGCACGGGCCCCTGCAGCCCAGACCCAGGCATATGGAGAAGTTGCCCATGCCCCTATTACAGTAGTGAAACTTTGCGAAATGACCCAGTCTTCGATTGGACCTGTCATCTCTTGCATATACCCCTATTGGGCCCTGGGCAAATTGTCTATATGCCCCGCGGCTACTTTACGGCGTTGGACCCTGCAGATGGCAAAAGAAATGCACGGGCCCCTGCAGCCCAGACCCAGGGCACATAACTGACATTTCGTTAAAACTGACATTTTTTTTCTAAATTCATGAAATTGAGCATCCGAAAAAAACAGTATTTTTTTTGCGTTTTTTGTCCCCCATGTCGTCGCGTCATGATGAAGCCCCATGATTGGACCCTCAGATGTATTTTGACGTTACTTTACGCTGAGATACATCAGATGGTCAAATAACAACTTTCTCACCCAATGAGCAATGAAATGTTGACTACGTCCACTTTCATGAATTTAGAAAAAAAATTCAGTTTTAACGAAATGTCAGTTATATGGCGAAGTTGCCAATGAGCGGTACGAGGGCAGGTGCACCAGTTTGGGGCTTTCAGCGTACCCCCTGTGTGTTAGGAGTATCGAACGAAATACCCAAACGTTTAGGGGTATCTCAACAGTTTTCCCTTTTTCTTTGTAATGAAGAAAGCCCATAGAGGGACCCCTTGTTATTAATATTGTGGGCTAATTATATAATAATAATAATCTGAAAATTGCATGCAGTCATTTTCTCACGATAGTGCCTTCTCTTCATTCATCGTCACCACACCATTTGAAGCGCCATGGGTCTCTATCATTGTGAAGCAGAATTCACACCATGTTGGATTGTTCACCCACCAACAGGGAACAAACAAAGTCATATTATGAGAAGGCTTGGCTTGGCACTACTCGGAGGCCTTCACCCGTCAAATCTGAACACGACGACCTTTAAGGCCTTTTTTTTAAACTATCATTATAGTATTACGGGGTACCCCGTAGCAGCCAGCCCGAGTTCAAGAGTTCAGGCCTCCAATCAGAGAAGATGTCGACGGCCCGGTGCTGCACCCAACCTGCAGGTGGGTGATACCGGCCAGGGGTCAGCCGGTAGCATCAAGACCGAGCTTCTTCAATCGGCCAGTTGCTGTGCCTCCCCTCCGGTCCCCTTTCCCTATGAACATCAGGAGTCTCTGCTCAATGGCGCTCAGGGGGGACCAATGTCCTACCTCTAGGTGGCAGGCACCAAGCGTTCCTAGGAAGGTGCATGAGACCATTGGGGATTGAACCTGCGACCTCCTGAATGCCAGTTGCGTGCCTTACCAACTGATGTAGGCCGCTGGATATATTCACAAATTTACGGACCTCCTGAATGCCAGTTGCATGCCTTACCAACTGATTTGGACCCCGCGCTGGAAATATTCACAAATTTACGAAGATATCACGAGGATATTGTTAAGCTTGAATGACATCGAACTTGAGACGGTCACGTTCATTGTCTTCGATATCTTTTCTCGGTGTAATCAAGAAGCCCAATGTCTTCAATGTCTTTTTTTTTTGAAATATCAAGGAGCTCAAAGTTCAATATCTTTCAGCCAGCCCTCTGGAACATAATCCGAACCACAAAGAATATACATTTGAGAAAAGAAAAGGTACTGCAGAAGTTGAATGGAAACCGACATGCAAGTATGCCGTAAACTCATGTGAAGAAACATTGCTTTGCCATTTCCCGGGTTGATAAAGCCTGGAAGCAGCTAGGAGATTGGACATCTGCTGTAGACTAGATCCATTATTCTGGGCCCAGAGGAGACGTTTGCAGACAACGAGCAGGCCCAGAACGCATCCAGTCGGATAGTCAGACTTGGCCAATTTGAATGGCATGGGTCCTTATTATTTTATTTTTTTTCTTCTTTAAAAGGGTGACAGCCTTGAGATATTATCATTGAAGTGGCCGGCCCTGGTAGTAGGTCTACTTGTCAAGTTTCATCATCTGGATTCGAACACAGGTGTGTATTTCAACAGTTAATCGGTGTACCCACTGAGCTAGGCTGTTGGGTGCTTATTTTGGTTGTAGTCAGAATGGGACACCTTTACCTCCTTTCCCGGTCCGACCATGTCAGAAGAAGATAGTCTGAAATTGTTCATCGGGGAGTCTGAAATTGTTCATCGGGGCATCCCGAGACGGGTATGCTAGGACCGTGTATTTTGCTAACTATAAGGGCTGGAGGTCCTTTGGCAATGCAGCCCTGGACATGAAGGCCACCCTCTAAGTTCCTAGTCAGGGTCCTAGAAGGGAACTAACTCCTCTTCCCAGGGCTAGAGGAACGAAATAGGTAGGTTGTATTATTTGGAGGTTGGGGAGGACTCCGTCAGCTGGTCAGGATGCAGGAGGCTCCCCAGGCCAAGCTGTCCAAGCGTTGGCCCAGGAAGTGATGAGCTTCACCAAGGGCTGTAATCAGTCCTATGGACAAAGGAACTTTTTACTGTCTTAACCCAAAAACAAGGTACATACCTTGTATTCAAGTTACCTCTGAAAAATGGGTTCTGAGAAATCGCTGTTAGATTTTTGAATAGAAGGTACTCACAAACACAAGGTACACACGCTGTATTCAAGGTGTGCCTTGTTTGAGATATTCCGGGTGTTTTTTTTTTTGTTTTTCTTTTTTTTTTGCTGTACATGACCAACGGCAGATTCCGAGGTATGGATATGATATGAGCAACCCCAATGGGAGGGCACCTTCAGGTGTAGTGGTTGTCGTCTATTGCTGGGAAGCTACACCTGCTGGAAATGGGGTCCAGCATTCCCAACAGTTCTACTTATGACGGCACAGGTCCAGGGTTCCCTCTTATATAATTATTAATTACTAATATTTACTACTTATTTTTTTTTTAATTCCCTTCCCCCCCTCGCCTTAGGAAAGTTCCCTAAATTTCGTTCTACAAGGTATGTACCTTGTTTTCGGGTTAAGATGGTAGGGGGATACGTAAATGCCCCAACAAACACAGAAACAGGATCTGCCAAGGTTTACCAAGTGCTCAGCTAATCCCATGGATCCTTCTACCTTCCCTTGGAGAGATCTTAGAATCAACGAAGGGGTTTCACATAAGAGGAAGGTGATGGGGTTTGCCTCAGGTGCATAGGGAAACACTTTGTCAAAGATTGTCCCACCTGCGGCAAAGTTCGAAAAAACTGAACAGGCCAATAAAAGCTGCAGCCACCCCTGGTGAATGGAATTCATCCGACTCTGAAGGTGGATCAGCTTTTGAGCCCGAGTCTTGTTCGGCTGTGATTGGCGCTTTTTTTTTTAATGTACCTGAGACTTTTGTTGATGAGCCCCTGTCTAAGGAAGAGTATGATCAGCTCTGTTCTCTTCACTTTCAGCTGATGGAGAAGACAAACATGGTCTGAAGACTCTGAACTAATCATGCTCAAGCTGCTTATCGATAGGATTCATATTAAGGCCCTGTTGGAAGCCACATATTAACATGTAAAAAGCCCAGAAGAGAATGATTGAACGGGCTAACAAACAAAGCTCATCTTCCATGATTAGATCTGGACATTGGGTTTGGAGCCCCCCCCCAGGTGTTGCTGGCAGCCGGAGCGTGTCAGCTGAAGCAGGTTCAAAAAGTAGTGAGCCGACTATCACCGGTATCAGTGTGACTTCACGTTGAGTGGTTGGTCCGATTTGCGCTCAGGAAGCATTCATAACCTGGTTTACAGCATGTTTCTTTCTGGGATAAATTGTTAGGCAATCGGTCAGGTAGGGGGGGGAGGGACTTGTTGTACTGACAGTCAATCCTTCCCTAACAGCAGCAATCGATGCTGTCAGGGTTCTCTGGGCCGTAACTCGGGAAAGCATGGTACAGCATTGTCTCTTATGTAGTTTGACTTGCTGGTGGAATAGGAACCGGACTGCTGCTCCCCAGAATAGCAGGAGCGACCTATTTTTTTTTTCTGTCAATGATATCTTCACAAAAGTTGTCGTCTTTGTATTGTGGTCCATGGCAGCTTCTGGATACAATTGGAAATTTGGTCCATCCTGTGTTTGATGTTCCACACATCTCAGAGCATATCCTATCTTCCATGGATCAAAGTTGTTGCCTTTCACACCTTCTAATGCATTTCCTGACAGCCCACCTCAATTTGGTCCACCTATCGGAGGGAAGGGATATGAGGTGCAGCAAATTGCAGCCCAGTGGAGCACTGACCCCGACTGCGAGTACCTTTTTAAGTTCGTCTTCCAACCACACACTGAGAACAGGTGGTCTACGTGAAAGAAACTTCTCAAAATAGCCAAATCAATTGTATCGGCTTATGAGGTGAGGTAGAAGGGTTGACTGCCCCGCCACTTACCTCGTGGTCAATATTAGCTCGATGCTCCTCGCCCTCCAGGGGGATAGGAATGCCATGTTCTTGCGATTGCTCACCCGGCTGTAATACTAAACGAGGCCAATTTTGTAATTCTGAGTTCCAGGTCCTAACTGGAAACTGAAACAGGCCTAAATCATCAGGGACTCTGCAAATTCCCTAAACTACTGCAAATCGGGTACTGCTGGGCCTAAACCTCATCCGCCTAAATGGACTGTGGCTTTACTTTTGCCTCAGACCAGTACCTTTGTTACTGGACTGTTAGTTGGTTTCAGGTCCTAGGCAGTCAAGTCCAGTAGGTTGGAGTAGAACTATAAAGAGAATGGGCCCGAAGGGTTAGGGGTCTTTGTTTAGCAGTTGTTGATACCGCCGGGCTGCTGGAGCAGTGCTGTATCTGGGGGGCGCTGCCAGGGTTTCAGTGGAGCAGTGAAGCGGGCGTTTCGCATGCTGAGCTTGGGGACAGACATGCCTGCGCTGTGAGGTTAGGCGCTGCCATATTGTTGCCTTTGCGGCAGCTGTTCTTCGCTTCTTCAAACTGGAGGTTCCTCCTTCGTCCATGTGCTGATACTGGCTGTTCTGGGAGGATTCTGGGACAGTGCTCCAGTATCTGATTGGATTCGGAGTGGTGCTAGTGGAGGTGGTGGTTGTCTGCAAGGTAGTGAGGCTAGGCGCTGTGATTTTGGGCTGAGTGCCATTGCGGCCTGTGGGAGGTTGTATTGGAGGGAGGAGGAGTACTTCAGGGACTTCTTGAAACTGTGTTTTGAGTTTGTTCAAAGCAGTGTATGCTCGGTTGTGATTCTTGGCTTTTTTTGTGATTGTGATTAACCTTGGAGAGTGGTGACAGACTTTAGAATGGTTAATGTTAAATTCTTCTGCTATTCATATCCTTTTCTGGTTTGGTGTGAATCCCTCTCCAAATCTGCTTTGTCATGGTGGTATGTGTATGGGAACATGCTGGTGCTCTGCTGCACTGTGTTTCGATCAGTCACATACCAGTAACGCCGTAAACAGTGAAATCATCAAGTGGGCCAGTGGGGTCTGGTCTGCCCGCGCTTGAATGCACAGCTGGGTGACCCTCGCCGGTAACAGAGGTCGTCACCCGATCAATACTCACCCCTACTTTGCAGTCAGCTGTTAGTCTGCATGCAGCATGGAGGCAAGCAGCCAGCTTTTTCCTCCTGTGCCATCTTGGCTGTGCCGATTAACCATTCTTATGCATGTCATTAACAAATAGGTGAAATTGAATGTGGTCTCGGCAGGTTGAAGACCTGAGCCATCTGGCACGAGTTGAGCGGGAGCTCATGCTTATCAAGCTTTCTGTTCGTTCAGACAACAGATCTGAGGTGAGTGCGAAACGTACGTGGACTTGGAATGTGTGTGTGTGTGTGTGTGTGTGTGTGTGTGTGTGTGTGTGTGTGTGTGTGTGTGTGTCTACTGCATTCTTTCTTGTGTGTGTGTGTGTGT